CCACACAGGGGCCGTGGCTGCGCTGTGACCGAGGGAGGGCAGGGTGGTGATGAGCTCTTACCAGCCCATAGCAGCATTAATGTTTGAAAACACGCTTTTTCCTTGCAGCTTATACTGTAGATAGTAGCAGAAGTTGTACTGACCCCCAGAACTGTTTCCTGGATATCATGAAAGGTTGTATTTTAATGTTGCCAGCCCTTCCACTGCACCATCACTTCCCAGCAGCGTGTGGCAGCACCTACCTGTGAGATGGGTTCAGCCTAAGAGTGGTGTTCTACCCTGGAAGGTCTGTGGTGTGAGGACTAAGGCTCTTAACTGGAAATTAAAGACACTTAAACCAGAATCAAAACAATATGAAACTGAATTTCCTAGTGTTTGAGGTGCCATTTCTGACACAACTGTTGCAAATGTTTCAGCATGCTACAGGAAAACTGAGGGGACACAGTCACTTCACAGAACTGTTTCAGAGGTGAAATATACAGTTCTGGGTTGCAATTCTGGGAGAATCCTGAAAAAAAGTATTTCAGCAGGCATTGATGTTATATCCATACTCAATACCATGATCACTGTTACCTTCTTTCACATTGTTAGGCACCTGAACATGGGCCTGCTTCCCATGAAAAGGACTACTGAGATCCCATTACTACTGCCTAATTGTCTTTTTTCTAAAACTTGAACTTGAACTCAGGCTAGAATAGGATTAGCATTAATCCTATAGAAAGATACTGTCATTTCTGTCACTTTTTCACTATTAAATAGTCGACTGCATTAAACATTCAACCTCATTTTCAAGCTGCAATGATTTTTCATTTTTTTCTAAGGAAGTATCATGTAAGCTGTAAATAATAAAATAAGCTGTAAATAATAAAATAAACTTTTAAAAAAGCAGCTTTCACTCGTCTTCCTTTGAACATTGTCAGAAATTATGCCAAAGATTAACATGGTGTCACGTTCAGAACACAGCCACTCAGGATAGGTTAAGCAGCACAGATGGCAGGTTAGGAATGACAGAAACCTCAGTACTGCTGCTACCTGGCAGTGGGAAAGTTGTTTTTCTGGTTTAACAGGCTCTGTCTCTATTAGGTCTGATCCTTGGATATAAGGTGATTTTTCACTCACATGACGACTTCAATTAGATGATCTCAAAGTGTTTTAAAGATCTAAAGTTTGTTAACTCTAGAGCTTGCAGTGATTTACCTTGTCACATTACAACAGATAATGATAAAATCTTTTGCATCATCGTGTATTTCCAACAGTTAAAGGAGAAAAATCAAGCAAAATCATTAGTCAGTCTTCAAATTATGCCTTGCTAGCATATTCATCTTGGAATAAATCAGGGTCTGTATTGAGGACGTATACGTGCACTTGTGAAAAGGAGAAGATGAGAGAGCACCTTTAGCAGTAAAACTGTTTTAAAAGACCAGATATCAAATTTCAGCAGCAGTGGGCCATGAAAAAAACTTCCTGAAGAAGAATTCATGAGCTTACAGGAGAGCTGTTTTAAGTCACATGACAAATATGTCTTTAGAAGTAGAGAAAATAACTGAGCAAGAAAAAACTTCAGCGAATGTCTGAGTTATGAAAGAGTAAACAAAATTCCAGTAGTTGTCACCATATTTGGGCAACTTTCCTTCCTCCCCACCTCCATCATTTCATGACAATATCATTCATACTAGGCTTCGGGGGGTTTTTTATTTTGATTCCTCTCAGGTCAGCTCAATACTCATTACCTAAACCCATTTAATTTTCATTACTCATGTGACACCGTTCGCCCTCATTCAAGTCTGTAATCTTTTAATATTTCTCATGTGAAAATTGTGTTTGTTAACCTTAGCAAAGTCCTCTTCTGGAATGCCATCTAGTGGTTTTATCTGGAAGAGACCAGCTTCTGCCTCTGTCAAGACTGAAAAAGCCTTCAAAATCAATGAAGGAAAAAAAGTATTTTCCACTTTTTCAATTTTATAAATCTAAAAATTTCTGTAATTATAGTAATAATAGTAGGGGGGGAAAAATAATAAAGAATGTGGTGAAAATAGTTGCTGCAGTCAATACCCTAGGAACACTGTTTTTCTCTTCTACTGACCTACTTGCCCAACCAACACCAATTGCATAAAATCCTATAAAAATATGTAATTAACCATTTAAAATAATGATGTCAGGTAAAATTATAGGCCTAATGAATAAGATAAAACTGCTATAAAAATGCATTGTGTAAGAATTGCATATATATTTAATAAACTGCAGATTTTTATTATATCACTATATTCTTATTTTTAAACTTGCAGGAACTTTACTAATGGTCCTTAAAAAAAACATGGCTAAAGGCAAACCTGCACAGTACCCTTAGCTCTAGTTTGCATATTTCAATTGGAGCTTATAAGCTTAAATCTCTAAACAAAAGCTTTCCAAAGAATCATAAAATATCCTGTGTTGAAAGGGACCCACAAGGATCACTGAAGTCCAACTCTAGGCAATCCCAAAGAACACACAGAAGTGGGGAAGCAAAAACCCTGAATTTTGATATAAACTGTATCAATCACTTTGTTTCAGTTACAGATTGGTGGTAGTGCATGTTTTAGTAAAGGACAGGGTTTCAGGGAGAACTCAATGGTATTCTGAAACTCAGTGTGATCAGTTTGCTTACCAGTTATGGAAAAGAGGAGCTCAACAGCAGGGTAAAGGAATTATAAAGAAAAATTTGTCCAGAATATGACAGAATGACAGCATCACAGACTGTGCTGAATTGGAAGGGACTCACAAGGATCATCGAGTCCAACTCCAGGTCCTGCACGGGACCATCCCCAAGAGTCACACCAGGTGCCTGAGAGTGTCGTCCAAACATTTCTTGAACTCTGTCATGGTTGGTGCTGTGACCACTTCCCTGGGGAGCCTGTTCCAGTGCCCAACCACTCTCTGGGTGAAGAACCTCTTTCTAATATCCAACCTAAACCTCTCGTGACACAACTTCAGGCCGTTGCTTCGGGTCCTGTCACTGATCACCACAGAGAAGAAATCAGCACCTGTCTGTCCTCCTCCCCTCAAAGGAAATTGTGACTGCAATGAGGTCTCCCCTCAGTCTCCTCCAGACTGAACAGACCAAGTGCCCTCAGCCGCTCCTCACAAGGCTTCCCCTCAAGGCCCTTCATCATCTTCAGTGCCTTCCTTTGGACACTAACAGCTTAACAGCTTTTTTAGAAAGTTTCAACACAGTTATTATAAAGAATTACTCCCCATGCAAAACTCACCCTTTAAATTAGCAACTAGGCATAAGAATAAGACTTAATAGGACAATTGGATCTTCAAATGAACATCATGTTCATCTCTACCAATTATTTAACCTGTCTT